AGGGATTTTTTTTTGCCATGCATTGGTCATAGAGCTCTTTGTGGCGTTGCCTCAGATGTTGAACTAGATTTGTTGCGCCAAGTTCACACGTACTCCATCTGCAGTGTATGCGGTGCAGAAGCAGCACGGACTCATTTTGCTTTCGCACAGTCTTTTGCAGTCCGCTCCTGATCCGCGGTTGTTTACCACAAACCCAACATTTATCCATTATTTTGATTTCAAATCCCTTTAATTATATTCATTTATGGTGTAATTACTACATTTTCGTGTCAATCTATGTTATTTTTTACCGCGAATAATGCACTGTCACTTTCAGCGCGTGCAGCACAGCAGAAATAGACTGTGCGGAAACGATCGCAGCATGACTGCTGCAGACGCACCGCTCCTGGAGTGCACTGCCGGAGCGCAATCGCGTGCAGTGTGAACACTCTGATCCATTAACATGGGCGTGGAAAAAATGCGCACCACAGACAGAGTATGTGAACCTGCCGTTACTTCTGTATGCCCGCCCGGTCTGTTCTGTTCTCCTGCTCCATTTAGGCATGCTGCATTCTGATTGGTTCGGATAGCATACTGCGGGAGGTCGGGGGCATGGAAAATCGTGCTATAAAGTGATTTAGAAATCGCGCAAGCTCAAATCAAGATTTTATGACGATTTCAATTAATTGCACAGCCCTAGCGTAGGCTATAAGAAGATTGCCAAGACCCTGAAACTGAGCTGCAGCATGGTGGCCAAGACCATACAGTGGTTTAACAGGACAGGTTCCACTCAGAACAGGCCTCGCCATGGTCGACCAAAGAAGTTGAGTGCACGTGCTCAGCGTCATATCCAGAGGTTGTGTTTGGGAAATAGACGTATGAGTACTGCCAGCCCATTGTTGAAGTGGTGGGGGGTCAGCCTGTCAGTGCTCAGACCATACGCCGCACACTGCATCAAATTGGTCTGCATGACTGTCGTCCCAGAAGGAAGCCTCTTCTAAAGATGATGCACAAGAAAGCTTACAAACAGTTTGCTGAAGACAAGCAGACTAAGGACATGGATTACAGTTCTTTACATAAAGATTTAAAATCAGCAGTGTATTTTTAAGATATTGTCCAAACAGAAACATTCAGTAACATTATTGTCTAAACTATGACACAAACTATGTGCTATGTTGTCTGTGCCTAGTTTGGAGGAGATTTATTTGTCTGGTCTCCTAAGCCAATTAGTATAATGAGGATTTCAAGAACAGGATGTGACAGTCAAAGCTGAAGAGATCAGGTTTTCAACTTTCTGCTATTCATCCATTCATATAAAGGGCATGCTCACTCCACAGATGGACATTTTGTTGTTGTTTTGCTGTGTTGGAACCAATTGCAAGAGCTACACATTTAAATCTATGCATATTCAAATCACAATGAGTTATGAGAACTACAACAGGACATTTTCATAGAATAACATCTTAAATGTAGGTCTTTCCCTTAGGCAAAGCTATCAGTTCAGAAGTCTTGGAATACAGCACACAATCCATGTGGAGTAGAGTCACGGTACTTGTCATTTTTGGAGCTTGACAGCTATTAAAAATTAAAGGGGTCATATGATGTGATTCCGATTTGTCCTTTCTCTCTTTGGAGTGTTACAAGCTCTTGGTGCATAAAGAAGATCCATAAAAATATATAGATAAAAATATAAAAATATTTTAATCATGACAACTCTCTGAAGATTTTTGCATGGTGATTGATATGACAATGTTAATGTATTTGGTCTTGGTGGAATAGATCTGCTACGCTGCTGCTGTTGGTTATTTCTGTAGTTGTAAATTATTGCTGCTGCTGCAAGTAGGGATGGGCGATATCTTATTGTTTGCGATATACCGGTAAAAATTCTCCCCACAATAAGAATTAGTCTTCTCGCGATAATAACGATAGTTGTTGAAGTCTAGTTGTTGACATATTTCTGTGTGCGACTGTGTGGAGTAACGTGAAATTAAGCAGCTCCTTCTACAATCTGAAACAGGTTTGGATAATGCTGTTCAGTGCGACAAAAATCAGTCTGAGCCTTGAATAAATGTATTACAGTAGCACGTGTGCGATACAGTTTTACATGTGTATGAGCCTGTTTACAAACCTGTTGTCCAACAAAGATATTATTTATTGACGTGCTTTTTCTCCATATTAACTTCATAACATAGTCGAGTGTTTGAAATAACTTATTTTTGTGACCAGACGTGGTTTCGTATCACAGAATAAGGCAGAAATCATACTACTTTATAGCATTATATACAGTGATGAAAGCTATGTCGATTAGCATTGCATTATATATATACTTTATCCTTATAAAAATACCCAAGATTGCTTGAAGAACACAGATACCATATATTTTGTGCAATCGCATGTTTACTGTCTTCAGGTTTCCTCAGTTAAAGTTTCTCTATCTGAGTTTTATTCAGCTACAGCCATCACTGGATACCTCTGTCCATATTAGGGATTTCCTGGAGCGTTACTTCTATGCATATGTGGAGTTTCTGTGCAAGGGCGCCCTCCGGCTTCCAGTATGAATTAAACAGTCATTACATTACGTGTGTACTGCTCACAACACCCTATTTTGGATAAAAATAGGAAAGATAATACTTTTCTCTAAAAAAAAAACAGGATTCCCTAAATGATCACAATAAATATCAGAAATGATCGTGATTCGTGATACATTTTTAAGCCCATATCGCCCATCCCTAGCTGCAAGCAAGTACAGGAACTTGCTACTGCCAATGCATATGGCGTTGTGAGTATTTAAGACAAAAACATCATCAAAAAAAGTCAAATCTCAGCGATACTAAAATAACTGATTTCTAAAATGGTAGAAAGACCCATATGTAATAAAATTTTGTGTGAGCCAAAGTGTGTGATTTTCTGCAGGCTCTGACTGTAATGGTGCTCGACAGACAGAGGTGGTCAACAAACAGGAAGAGTTTCTCCCTCCGCAGCCTCTGCTCTCTGTCTACCTGGAGCAGCTGAGCTGAACTGCTAAGAATCCTGGCTACAGCCAGTGCAATTGATGTTCATCCAGCCAGACCCGGCACCACTGCCCTTAAAAATAAAGCTTGACCTTGACCTGGCCAGCATGAACTGTGCACATGGCATTATGTAAAATGGGACCTGGCCTACAGGCCTTGCCCTTTTGGAGAGACTGTGCTAACTAGATTATTGTACTCTCAGTGTCACTATCTCTTTCATTCAATTTTTAAATACATTTTGGAGCATGTATTAGTAGATGTTGTTACTACAACTGTCTTTATAAATTATTCTTTTTTCCCATGTTGCAGACAGAATGTTTACTGTCATGGAATCCTTGTAAATAAATAGAAATATAATTGTGTGTCCTCAAGACAAGGCAGAAGATGATTTGATAATTACTGTTTTTGATGTTCACAATCTTATCAGGAAAATGAATTGAAATGGGTTTAGATATTCATGTCCATCTCCAATGGTATACAAGCCACATATAGTCACTGTCAAAAAATTTACAACTCAGGCTCCTACAAAAGGATGACATCATATAAATCAGCACATGTATCACAAATACCATGATGGTTATGCAGTTATTGTTAAGTTATACCTGTGCAACCTGTTTATTCTGACTGCACACATACTTTTTACAATTCACATGCATTTGATATGTGCAGACTTGTAATTCCGCTAACTTAGCCAATCCTGCCTGACAACTAAAGAGTGATCAGTTGACCTTTTATATCTAGCATTCTGTAACTTGAATTTGAATACAACAGTACTTGTCATATTTGTTCATCTGCTGTGATCAGGTCACACACTTCTTTTTTTTCATTAAGGATCTGCCAACATGCACTTACACGCATTCTGCCTTACCTGTACACACCAGATTTGTCAGTTTTACATTTTTGTAATTATATATTGAGCCTTTACATCAAGGTTTACAAAGTGAAAAAAATCCTTTACTGTTTTATACCATCAAGAGTCCTGAGACACTTGAACAGTTATTACGTTGGTGTTTATAACCAAAGTGTGTGTGTGTCTACAATGCTGATTCTCAGGCATCAACCATCATGAATGTGGACTTTAATCATTTAACTCATATAATAACACACCTGAAAACCAGGTGTGTTAACCCCTTTTGAAAGGAAGAGGTGTTTTTGGAATAATATTTATACTTGTGTTAAGATATTTGATTTTAATGCTATTTATAGTGTTGTGGCAGAACATGAATACATACAGCACTCAATTGTATTTAGTTTTTAGTGAGTATCTGTACCCATGACAATTAAAATATTACGTTTTTAACTGAGATCATACTGTGTTATTATTTGAATATTAAGAACAGAAATATATACAGTACATGAAAATTATATATATACACACACGTATATACATATATAAACTAAGCTCAAATCTGACATCTATAATTTTTATAAGACATAAATAAAAATTTAAACTAATAATACTTACATAATAAACTTTCAAATCTGACCTTTATAATAAAAATGTTGTATGTAAATTTAAATATCTAATACTACTACTACTACTAATAATATAAACTTACTTCCACAAATATTTTATTCCAAAAGCTCAAATATGACATAATTTATATAAGACATAAATACAAATTTAAATAACTATAATACTATTAATAATAATAATAATAATACTTACATCATAATAATCAACTTTCAAATCTGATAAAAGATATAATACAAATTTAAACCACATAATAATAATAATAACAACAACAACCACAAATACAGCTTAATTGTATATACTTACATCATAATAATCAACTTTCAAATCTGATAAAAGATATAAATACAAATTTAAACCACATAATAATAACAACAACAACCACAAATACAGCTTAATTGTATATAATTTATATTGTTTATATAAACAACTTTAAGAGCTTTCCTTTAAATTTTAATGTACTTGGTTTACTTAATGTACTAGTTAAAATGCACTAACTGAGCTGACTGTGTATGAAATTAAAGACAAAATAAAACCTAAAGAGAGTCTTTCCACTCTGTAATTGTCTGACCAGATGCTGGACAGTACCACTTTCCTTTTACCTGGGAATGGCAAGTAAGTTTGCTTTTTGTGTGGCCACATGTTTTACACTGGTAATGGTAATGTTCTTTTGTGTGACGCTTCTTTGGTGGCTCCCCTCTTGCCACCTGATCCTCAAGAGCTGCCTTGTGCAGTCTCCAAGCACTTTTTCGGTTCTGAGGAGGTGGTGGAGCTGATGGCTGTTGGCCTGGTGGAAGGGAAGACCATCCCTGAGGCAGTGGTGGAGCTGATGGTGGATACGGCAGAAAAGACCAATCAGGCCAGGTATGCCACCCAGGAAAGTGTTGAGCCCCAGGCCAGAAAAATTTTTTGTGTGCTGCAGGAGTGCCAGATGGAAATGCGCCTCCTAGCCCAGTGTGTGTGTGTACAATTGAAGATGCTGCAGTTCCAGTTCGCGCATATTTTCGTTGCAGAATAACTGCCTCACCCTCCCAATTTTCAGGCTCCTGGAATTCAATGGGAACATGCTTATGTTCAACAGGTGCTGATGGGAGCACTTTAGGCTTTGGTAGTGGCTCAGTCGCCAAATCAACCTGCTGGGGAAGCTTCACTTCTTGCAACAAAGTGTCCCGATCAGTTCTTTTCTGTCGGTCTAAAAGCCTGGGAAAGAAAAACAAGCATTTTTAGCTTATAGCACAACTGCTTTTAAAATTACAACTTTATCCTACAGTACTCTCACATGAAGCATTAGTTAATGTATATATTAAATATTGCATTATTTATCATGCAAATAAATCCTGAATGGGACTGTGTTTTCAACACCTTTCAGTGATGACCAGCTAGATGTACATTATCTAAAATGCTTGATTCTGGTTGATCAGTTGCAACATTCCAAGGTCTGTCTTTCCCCAATATTGACTGTAGATTATAGCAACAATGAATAACAAATGCTCATCTGGGTCTCACAGGGTTTGAATGAAAAGAGAATTCATGGTGTGATTCAAGAGATGATTGAAATAGTGCTGGCTTCAGATAACCAGATGAGTAGCCTGTTACACAGCACTACTACTGATGATGGTCATTATTGTGTGAAACTGACTTTGAAAATGTCACAACTGACCAATCAGAATATTGAACTGAGAGCTGTGTAATATTAAGCAATAAAGTATTCCAACCATTAATATTGATGTAAAGCTGCTGTGAAACAATGTATACATTTAATCTATGCAATATACAAATTTGGAATTAGAATAGCTCATTCAGTAGTTGTTACTGAAGTGCACTTGTTCATGGGAATGTACTACTAAAGTGAACTCAGGAAGCCAAGAACCAACTCACCAAGATGATACTGTAGTATTGTTGATCGTAACTAGCACCAAGTTGGTCTTGTCCAGCACTTCTCTGCAGTCTTCAAGCAGCTGCTTGATGTGACTATACGTCATCACAGTTGCCTGAGGAATTGGGAAGATTTTGCCCTTGTTGTCTTTAGGCCTGTTTCTGGCTTCCCTGAATTCCTTCAAAAGCTTGAGTGTGACGCATTCTGAAATCCTGTTGACATCAGGTCTCTGGGCAGCCTGGCCATGGGTCATGAACAGTCTGCAGATAAAAGTATGTATTGATTGTATAATGCATGATGTTATTATTCCATGGTTCATTATAGCTTTGTAAACATATAGACTAATTATGTTTTTGAATTTTATGCAGATGTAAACGAGGCAATGTGGGATACTTTATGATGGCACACACTGTAAAAAAGGTCCTATATCATGATTCTTCACAATTCTCTTTTTTTAGCCTTACAGAGGAATTAAACTATTACACAGGCAGCATGAAATAAGACTCAAGTTTAACACGGGTGCACTACAATTTAACTCACCTCTCAGCCGCTTGCTGACCAGGGGCTGAGCCACTACGCTTCCGAGAAGCTCTCCAGCGACCTGGCAAGACATTTTTCTTGCACTTAAGGGAATACGTGGAGGGAGACCGATCAATGGCATGCAGACACCAATACAACCGCAAAATCTCTGCTATCTCGTTGGTTGACAAAGCAGTGATAGTGCGGTTGAGGCTGACGAGGTACCCTGCCAGGTTATCCACTGCCTCCCATCCAGGAACACCCCTTGAATCACATCTACTGTCCTGAAAATGGGGAAAAACTAAATCCTGCATTACAAAATAGTTTATTCTTTGATATACCATTCTTAACAAATTACAAGCATCAGCATCAAGTATTAGAAACTTTACCAGAGCTGATGTGCTGGGCCCAGCGCAGGAAATGTCTTCAATATCAGGACTGTAAGCGCCACCACTTGGAAGACTGGTTTCCTAGATTGTTTTTAAACATTTGTAAGAGAAGAACAAAATTGGGTTACAAAACTGAGTGTTCAAAAAGTTTGCTAGTTTTAATAAGTGGTCATACTTTACAAAAAGTTTCTTTAGTTAAGGATGGTCAATGCATTAATATGACCTAACAATGAGCACTACATTTCCAATATTTGTTAATCTCAGTTTACATTAGTTAATAAAAATACAACTTTTTTTGTTAGTTAATGTTAGTTCAGGTTCATTAAAGTTAGCATTTTGAAGTTTAATCATGCATTAGTAAATGCGGAGATTAGATTCTTTATTAGTTCATGTTAACAGTTGTGGTTAGCTAATGTTAAAAAACTTAAAACTTATTGTACAGCATTACCTAATAATCTTTTAATTAACTGAATAATTTAATTAATTGCTCATTTAAACTAACATTCCTATGCAATTTTAAATGAAGAATAATCAAGAAAATTGACATTACCAGAGAGGAGATCAATGAATCATCATGACTGCTGGAACTGCCATGGGTGTGTGCATCTAAATTGATGTCTGCTGCATCACATATTGTAACATCCAGACACTCATCCTGCTGAACGTCAACCTGCGTCTCTGGTGGAGTGATTTCAACATGCTCCAGTGGAGAAAGCAGGTCTCCTCTGTCAGACTGCGCCAGCAAGTACTCCACAGCTATACGTTCATCTGCCATAAAGAGTCATTAAACATTTTGTAATAAGAGGAATATATCAGGCTAAACCAGTACAGTGCATGCATGTGATGAATGTAGTGTTGCTAATGAATAACCAATAGTGGGTGCATTTTTTAATACGCGCGTGACAAGCGCATATGTGATTGATGTCAGTAGGCTATAATCGATTATGGTCTATTACTGCAACGATGCAGAATTGTCCATGTCCATGTCCACATCGATGCAACGATTAATTTCAACACCCCTAGCATTCAGGCAGCATGCAATCTCACAGCAATGCTTGGAATTACTATTGTAAGAGAATATACAAATGTTGAATCTTACCAGTGGGTTTCCCAGGGGGCTTGAATTCTGGCAGGAGAGTACATCCGAGGACTCTGTTGCTGAGGACGTTCATGTGGGACATTAAACGTACATCATAGATTTTAGTATGTGATGTACCACTCATGTCCACAGCCTGATGAGCCCGGTTAATGTTCCATCTCGATGCACCCTCAAGCATGTACATTTGAGTATGAAGAGCATTACATCTCCACCCTGAAAGACAAAATGTTTCACATGGTTAAAATACCATTATAAACCCCCCTCAAAACTACGAGGCCTAAGAAAAAGTTTCAACTGATAGGTAAACACTTATCCAGTTGTATAAGATTTAAGTTAATTTACTTCTGACCAAAATCTGTTCAAATTTTATGCCTTATTTTGTGGCAATTTTTCCGTCATTTTAAAAATGGTATTTGATGTTTTTCAAGGTATCGTTCGAAGTTCCAATATTGTGACAATACTACTTAAATATACACATGATATTGTCTTATCATTTCAATTTACCTGGAATAAAAGTGCACTGGTGGCGATGAAAGCTCTCCAGAGAAGACGACCCTCTGCCACACCTCAGTACATCCAGAACCTTGTCTCCCTTCTGTAATAGAGAGTCATTAAACATTTTGTAATAAGAGGAATATATCAGGCTAAACCAGTACAGTGCATGCATGTGATGAATGTAGTGTTGCTAATGAATAACCAATAGTGGGTGCATTTTTTAATACTTGCGTGACAAGCGCATATGTGATTGATGTCAGTAGGCTATAATCGATTATGGTCTATTAATGCAACGATGCAGAATTGTCCATGTCCATATCGCGATGCATCGATGCAATGATTAATTTCAACACCCCTAGCATTCAGGCAGCATGCAATCTCACAGCAATGCTTGGAATTACTATTGTAAGAGAATATACAAATGTTGAATCTTACCAGTGGGTTTCCCAGGGGGCATGAATTCTGGCAGGAGAGTACATCCGAGGACTCTGTTGCTGAGGACGTTCATGTGGGACATTAAACGTACATCATAGATTTTAGTATGTGATGTACCACTCATGTCCACAGCCTGATGAGCCCGGTTAATGTTCCATCTCGATGCACCCTCAAGCATGTACATTTGAGTATGAAGAGCATTACATCTCCACCCTGAAAGACAAAATGTTTCACATGGTTAAAATACCATTATAAACCCCCCTCAAAACTACGAGGCCTAAGAAAAAGTTTCAACTGATAGGTAAACACTTATCCAGTTGTATAAGATTTAAGTTAATTTACTTCTGACCAAAATCTGTTCAAATTTTATGCCTTATTTTGTGGCAATTTTTCCCTGTCATTTTAAAAATGGTATTTGATGTTTTTCAAGGTATTGTTCGAAGTTCCAATATTTTGACAATACTACTTAAATATACACATGATATTGTCTTATCATTTCAATTTACCTGGAATAAAAGTGCACTGGTGGCGATGAAAGCTCTCCAGAGAAGACGACCCTCTGCCACACCTCAGTACATCCAGAACCTTGTCTCCCTTCTGTAGCCCAGAGCCCAGTTTCGTGTAAAGCTGAACCGCGGGTGGATCTTGGATGCAGGGTAAATGCTTCTGTTGCACCTCCCACACGTGCATCATGCTCTCCGGATTGATGAGGTGCAGACCAGTCGTGTCAGTCAGTTCCCACATGGAGTCCAGCAGTCCTTGAATCAAGGCACGAGTTTCTTCAACTCCCCGTGTCCTCCTCCTGCAGTGCTTGGCCAGCTCACTGGAGGTGATGCTTGACAGGATTTGGGCCTCTGTCGGAATATGCCCCCCATGTTTTTTTAAAAGCATGGTCTTTTTTGCCTCTTTAAGACGAGAGATGTCATCCTTGTCCCATTCAAAGATACAGCTGGACAACTTGGAGCAGAAAGTGCCATACAGTGGATGGTGCTCCGTTGTAAGTGAACCGTCGCATAAAGTGGAAGACATCAAGACGCACTGTGACCTTCCATGGTCGAAACCAGGTAAGAACTGGAGTCACACCTACACCAATGAGAAACAAGGAAAGAATCTATGCATTTTCTTAGATTTAAATTTGCACCATTAAACAAATGCTAATCCAGTTTAAAATACGTTTTTTGTTTTATTGATTGCAAACAGTGAACTGGGGTTCTCATGCTAAATTTTTTATTTTAAATAGTTCTAAAAAAAAAGTGCCATACAGTGGATGGTGCTCCGTTGTAAGACCGGCAGTGAACCGTCGCATAAAGTGGAAGACATCAAGACGCACTGTGACCTTCCATGGTCGAAACCAGGTAAGAACTGGAGTCACACCTACACCAATGAGAAACAAGGAAAGAACCTATGCATTTTCTTAGATTTAAATTTGCACCATTAAACAAATATGCTAATCCTGTTTAAAATACATTTTTGTTTTATTGATTGCAGTGAACTGGGGTTCTAATGCTAAATTTTTATTTTAAATCGTTCTAAAAAATTCTCCTTAGGAGTGCTCTTAAGAAATATGAACAAACACCTCAACAAAAGCCATGTAAATTAGCTTTCCAAATTAGTGGAAACCATGCAGATCTGCGATTTATTCTCATTCAGAAACTTGCCTGAAATGCTTGCTAATATGAATTAGAAATGTATTAACAGCATTCCAAACATTCCTATCAGGAAACGTTATAAAGCTACAAACCCGTCCCGCTGCAGCAGTCCCTGTTAACATAAATCACAGCTGGCTCTGGCTCCCCAGCATCCTTGTATCGCTTCACGATGCCCTGACACAACTCATCCAGAACAGCTCCCTCACCAGTTGTAAGGACACAGTTCAGGACTTGGCCAAACTCATTGCCAACGTTGGTCATCCAGGTAGCAGTGTCCGCAATGCCACCAGCAAGCTTTTTAGTGATCTATATAAATACATAAGCACATCAGGTATAATCACTGAAGATATATACACACACACACACACACACACACACATACATGTATATGTATACATGCTCTTACCTTTTTGGTAGAATCAAGCTTCAGGATGCTACCATATGTTGATGTTATGACACCCTTTAGCTCATCAAGGTGACTCAGAATTTCGTTGGCATGGGCGGTCTCAAACCACTGTGCCAGAGGTAGGGGGCAAAAAGGTGGTGGCTGCTCATAAACCACTTCCAGTTGGGTCAGAGCACATCTGTTTTTGTGAAGCTCACAGTCCGTCAGGTAGTCTATAGTCCGCCTTGCCCACTCCTAGAACGGGGCAAAAGGGACTGCTACAAGGGGGAAAGAAAGGGAAAAGAGAAGGGGAAAGGAGGGAAAGAAAGAAAAGGAAAAAAAAAGAAAAAAATCCATTATACTTCATGAACACTCACAAAAGGATTTGATTGATTTTTGCCTATATCATTTCTAATAAAAACTGATAATAACAATAATAATAATAATAAATT